TGTTTGTGACTCCTCAGACTGATGAACAACATACGTAAGCGTGCTATAAAACTAAAAATCTTTGATAAGAGTTTATATATGTGTGTGTGTGTGTGTGTGTGTGTGTGTGTGTGTGTGTGTATGCATATAGGAATATGGGACCTGTTAGACTCATAAATCCCTAACCTGAAAACGCACTGTAATGCCACCTTAATTGGACATTTGACGCTTTATCTCTGCTGCTGATTATCCATGCTGCTGATTTCTTACCTTTAAGCTGCTGTATTCATAGCCATCTGCTCACAACAGACTCACGTTCAGGCTGCTGTTTAATTCATTCAACCTTTATTTAGACAACACACCGTATTATATTACACTATTTTTGTTTAGCGTATATCTTAGATCCGTGTACATTATACTGTTTCTTTTTGTTATAATTTATATTTTTGCTAATTTTGGGTGCAACTGGGACCTTGAGTACACAATTTTGTTCCACCTCATGTACCACATGTGATGACCATAAAGAACCTTGAACCTTGCAGACAGGAAAAAGAAAAAAAAAAAAAAAAACGTTTTTGCACATTCATCCTCAGATGACATTGTCTATTTTGATCCATGAAAGACCCTTTGGGGAAACCAAACAAAAAAAATGTCACAGGAAGTGATGAGGCGACCTCAGTTTGACCGTTTATTGATTGCAAAGCAGCTGTTAACTAGTGGCTTCAAGCAGAATGATGAAGGTGGGGGCTTGATGCAGAGCATGGGGGCTGATGGGAGATGCAGATTTCAGGCGCTTGCATCACCAAACAGACAAAGTGCTGACAAAGGTCGACTGGAAGCACAAGGGAAGAGTTGTGAGACTCTGTGCGTGTGTTTGTGTGTGTGTGTGTGTGCAGAGTTCTATCATCACTCTCATGGAGGGTGTGATAACAGTGAACTGAATGTTAATGGATTTGGTGTAATGCATGTTGTATTGGCCAGAGCTGGTGTTATTTTTAAAGTGCTTCCTTTAGGTAGGATTCTGTTGCAGCTTGGTCTGAATTGATGCATTTCATCAGTTCTGAGCTTTGTGTGTGCACGTTTGTCCTCCATTTCCAGTTCATACTCAATGTCAGCAGCCGGGAGTGTATGGGTTGAGTGCCGGACTCATTCCAATTCTTTTTCTTTGTGTGTTTTTGTTCAGGTACATGATTACCTCCGCAGCAAGTTGTGTTCCCTGTACGAGAACGACTGCATCTTTGACAAGTTTGAGTGTGCCTGGAACGGCTCAGACAGGTAGACTGTAAAGTCCTTGTGCTTTTTTACGTTTCTGTGCAAACTATACAAGTTGTTAGAAAAAAACAATACAGTATTTACAGAAGGTTTCTACATGAAGTACTGCACAACAGTGGTCTTGTTTTATTTTTTATTGGACTTTTTGCATTGAATTTCTTTAACTTGCTCTTTTTTTTAAAATAATAATAATTATTATTTTTTTTTACTAATTCTTTTTGTCCAGTTTCAGGGATTTTTTTCCTTCTTCAAATTTGTCAAGCTGCTCAACTTCAACACAGTATCTGACTCATAATTACTCCAACACAGCCGTGTCTAGAACCTTATATTCTGCAGACACTTCAACATTCGTGATGCATTTTTCAGTGCTATGAACACTTTTTAAAATCCTTAAATAGATCTTTAAAAACAGTGGCACAAATATTTAAGTAGAGATACTCCTGAGACAAAAACCTGTAAATAACATCAAAACTATTTTTATTTAAGAGCTCTTGTACAAAACTAACCACGTGACAGAAATGATAGTAAAATCTAGAGAAATTGTATTTCTTGCGAAAATGCAGTGTGAATGCTTATTGCTGAAGAACTTGCTGAAAAACAGCAGTAATTTGCTAAAAACATGCTGAAATGTAGCTGAAATGAAAGAACAAGCCTAAATTAGCAGAAGAAAGCAGAACTAACAAATATTTGCAGAGTTAGGTATAAATAAGCAGGAATGAGCACAAAAACTAGGAAATCAGCTAAAAAATCTAAAATTAATGAAAGAAAAACAGCTAAAAAGTAGCTAAAAAGGCAGAAGGAAGCTTAACCTACAAGAAGGAAGTGGAAATAATTGAAATGAGCTAAAAAAAAATGTGGAATTAGTTGAAAAAGCCCAAATTTGCATAAAAAACAACTAAATAGTGGCTGAAATAACAGAAAAAGCTGAAGCTAGCAGAAAAAGCTGAAATGAGCTTTTAAAAAAACTTAAAGGAGCATAACAAGCTAAAATGAGAAGGAAGATGTTAACTGGCTGAAAGTAGCTGAAATTACCATTAAAATCTTGAAATTTTCTAAAAACATCTGAAATTAGCTAACAGTTTTCTAAAAAGGCAGCTGCAAAGCAGAAAAAAGCAGAAAAAAACCCCATGTTTGCCTAATTTGGCTGAAAGAAGCAGAACTTAGCACAAAAAAGTAGAAATTATCTTAAAAAAAATTAATTAGCAAAAAAGGCTGAAAAGTAGCTAAAAATCCAGAAAGAAGCTTAAATTACCAGAAGGATGTGGAGAGAGCACATTTTTGCTGAATTAGGCTGAAAAAAGATCTAAAGAGTGCCATAAATGTGGAATTAGCTGAAAAGGCTAAAATTAGCATAAAACCAGCTAAAAAGTAGCTGAAACAGCAGAAAAAGCTGAAAGGAACATAAATTTTAAATAAGCAGAAAGAAGTTAGAAAAATCAGAAAAAATGTAGTTAGCAGAAACAATCTGAAAGGAGCATAAAACAGCTGAAATAAACAGCTGCAATTAGCTGAAAGTAGCTGAAAAAAAGTCTAAATTTGCACAATGAAGCTGAAAGAAGCTGAACCAGAACAAAATGTGAAAGGAGCAGTAAAAGGTTGTAAACAGATCTAAAGATATGAAAGATGTAAAATGAGCTCAATTCATTTTCTACGAGAAAAAAAAAAAAGTCAGAAAAGGCTAAATATTTCAAAAAGCTAAAGTTGCACCAATACCAGAAATCATAGCCCCGTTCTCCTGTCCTGAACGAGCTGAACATTTCTGTATGATTTGTTGAAATAGAACAAAAACTGTGAAATGAGAAAGATGCTGAAAAACGTATGGAAGAAAAATGGATCCCAATAATGTGAATACTTCATAAACGTTCACACAATAAAAAAATTTAAAGTGATTTGATCCTTTCTCCTCTTCTGCCCAGTGTGATCATGACCGGAGCCTACAACAACTTTTTCCGAATGTTCGACCGCAACACCAAACGCGACGTGACCCTGGAGGCCTCGAGGGAAAGCAGCAAACCCAGAGCTGTGCTGAAGCCGCGGAGGGTCTGCGCCGCCGGAGGGAAGCGGCGGAAGGACGACATCAGCGTGGACAGCCTGGACTTCACCAAGAAGATCCTGCACACGGCCTGGCACCCCACCGAGAACATCATCGCCATCGCCGCCACCAACAACCTGTACATCTTCCAGGACAAACTCAACTCCGAGATGCATCAATGAATCGGAGTCAGAGCTGGATTCAAATGAGTTTACAAGCAAAACACACACAACTATGCTAGAATGTACAATATGAGACTCACACACTCGCCTACACACACACACACCTACTCCTTCACCTCCTCCTCAAACTCCCACAACTGAAAGGAGCCCAGCTAGGGATAAAAATAGGAATCTGGCTGGATCACACAATGGATTATGGATTGGGAAATTGCCCGCACTGTGGATTTTTGAATTGTTAGCCTGTGGATTGTGCTTGACGGTGTTTTCATTACTTCAGCTCAACGTCTGAGCGCGATCGGATCGCAAAGTTTACACGTTTTGTCTTCTTTGATTTCTAACTCTTCAGGCGTATTTGCTTTCTCCTCCTCCGTACTTATGTGCACAAGCGAAACCTATTCCTATCCCTTTGCCCACTGTTTTATGTAAAAAAAAAAAAAAAAAAAAGCAACAAGTCTCTGTGGTTGTCTACCAGCAGCACTGACGAGAAACGGGGCATTTATATAACTGTGCTTTCCACTTTCGATAAGCTATTTTGTTTTTTTATATAGCTTCTTTTTAAAGGATGTCGATGATGGTGATAATGACGACGTGAAACGATTTGTGTAGTGAAGGAAGAACTTACGACCCTCCTCCCAACCCACCAGATGCCTCCCTGATTCAGGGGAAAAAAAAAACAAACCTCCAACAGAAGCAGAAGTTAACAGATTTTTACAACGCGAGGAGACACATTCACAAACACAGTGTGTTGCAGCACTGACCGTTTTCTCTGCTGAAACAGGTCCAAATGTTTCTATTTGTGGTTTCTGCTTCTGGTCCAGGGCTGTGTTGTGTGCTGCTTCGACACTTGGGTACAATAAACTCAGATAAAGCAAAAATAATAATATTAATAATAATAAAAAAAACTTACTCTCAGCAATGAATCAAGAAGATGCTGCATGTCAAACTGATTTATTCTAAGTATTTAAAAATTGACTGACTTGGCTGCCTTTTTAACCATTACGCTGTAGAAAGGCTTCAGGGGCCTCGGGGCTCCGTGCAGCACGAACAGCCGTAGACGACTGAGCCCTTCTGTGTTTATTTGTGTCCTCGGACACTGAAGCATGTTTACCAGTGATCGGTTCGTACACGTCCATTTTGAACGAAGCTGTCCGCAAATCGGTTTCAGAAAAACAAAGAAGGACATCTATTGAAGGGGCCTCAGTGGTGTCTGTATATCAGATCCTCTCCTGACGTGGACGAGGTTTTGTATCGTCTGTGGACCCGATCGTCTGTACTGATGGTTGCCTCCAAAGCTACAGCAGAGTGATGGTACTTTAAACTCTTTGGCCTTCCTCACTGACGACTTAACAGTTGTGCAAAGCTTTTATTTTTTAAAAGATGGACTCTTCTTTACTGGGTTCTTTTGTTTGGATCGTATGTCCGTCGTACTCCATGTCCTTCTTGAATAACTTTGATCCACATATTTTTGTCTAACTATATGTTGACATGATTGTCAAACAGACAATTATATATAATGTTAATATGCTTTTTTCTGAATAAAGGGTTCAACAAAATTGCATCCAATGAGGGGATGGCTGTGATTTTTATTGTTGGGTTGACATCCATTACATTAATACAGGAAATATTGTCATAGTGGATCTTTTTTTTAGGTCCAGTTATGTCAGACGTGGGCAATATATGACTCGAGGGCCAAAAGTGGCCCTTGGACAACATCTATCCGGACCTCAATATTCTTAATCGAAAAGAAAACAACTTTTAAATAAGTTGATGAAAACCTGCATTTTATCAATGAAACTTAGAAGTCTAAATTTAACATTTTGGACAATTATTTTAAAAACCTTTGGATTAAGAAAGGCCAACAGTTTTTCCTGAAGTTGTTGTGTTTCCAGAACTATTGAACCTTAAAGACTCCAAAAGGCCAGTAGATGTTTTTTAAAGTATTTAAGCTAACAAACATATTGTCTCGAGAGCCAATTTACAAAGAGTATGTTTTATATTCCTAAAGTGTCGAGGAGACGTTTTTTTTTTTTAATCAAGCATGCTAACTTTGCTACAAGACAAAGCCTAAAAAAGTGTTTCAGATTATCTGTCTTAAAGCAAATTTATTGGTACCACTTTACAGTACTTCAATTCAATTCAAAATACTTTATTAATCCCAGAGGGAAATTAAATGTTGTTGTAACTCATCATCCTGGTTTCATTAAGAGTTGTTATAGATGCTGATGGCTGTGGGCAGGAAGGATCTCCTGCAGTGGATCTGTTGAAACTGGCTGCAGATGCCGATCCGTCCACCCGGACTCAACGGGCCTCTCGGCCCTCCAGCAGGACCACCTGAATGTTGGGCAGTACTCCTCTTGTTGAGCTCCTCATCATTGCAGACAGCCAGCTGCAGATGTCGGGGGATGATCCTGTTTTTCTTGTCATGAGCCATGTTTCCTGCCAGCTCCAGGATCTCGGCAACCAGTCACTCGAGCACCTCCACCAGGTAGATGGAGATGCATCCACAGCGCCTCCTTTACAGCTCATTTGGGATTTGGGGCTGTATTTTAGGTAATATTTGAACTCTGAGATATTAATCAACTGCTCCCGGTTGTAAAAACCACGTTGCTGTCATGGTTACGCTTCATAACAAATGTCCAAAAGTAAAAATGTTTCTGTAAAAATCCTTCAAGCTGCACAGCATCCAATACCAGAGGAAATAATCATCCCCCCAAAAAAAGCCATCCAGCAAAAAATAGGTAATTAAGTTCTCTAAAGCAATATCCCAGAATGAAAGTAACAGCTACTCCAACATGCAGCCAGCTTGAGCGGCACAGTTCTAGAAGTTATATAGTAAGGCTCCCCTTATAGATGGCTAATAATAGTTCATAGATACGTTATTAATTCCTCTATAAACACTTTATAAATCATTAATAATTGTTTATTATGCATTAAGGGTGACAGTGAGACAAAACTGACCAGTTTCTTGCCAAATAGTGAGCCAAATCTGCCACCTATATATTTCATCCAGAGTTGTTATATTAAACATTTCAGACTAAGTTACTACCTTGTAAGCACAATAAGTATTTGTAAACCCTTTTTTTTATTTTATTTAGGATATTAGTTGTAGATACTTATAATGTAGTGATAAAGTACAATATTATATGCTAAAAAACAGGTTTACAAGGTAGTAAATTAGTCTGAAATGTTTAATATAACAACTCTGAGATATACAGGTGAACACCTAAAAAAGTTAAATCTGGTCCTCTGAACATTCAAAAAACAAAACAAGAAAATTGTAGAAACGTTTCGTCTTTCATCCGAAAGACTTCTTCAGTCTGAGGTGCTGTATTCAGCTCAGTCTTATAAATAGCACCTTCTCGTAGTGGATCAACCAGTTTGCTGCTGACAACCAAAACCAACCAACCAAAAACAGCTGAGTCCTGTTTGGGTTTCTTCTCTGCTTTCAGGAAGGCCCAGTTAGGATATCCTAGATCAGGTGAGCAGCTGGCTTTGGTTGTCAGCAGCAAATTGGTTGATCCACTCTGATTTAACTTTTTTAGATTTTTCTACCTGGCTTATTGAGCATGCATCAGAATATACAGGTGAACAGATTTGGCAAGAAACTGGTCAGTTATGTCTCTGTCACCCTTAATTAATGCATAATAAACATCTATTTTCAATTTCTCTATGCAGCCCTTTGATTGCTTTAATACCTTAATTTGGCCATCTGGTTAAAAAAATAAATAAATAAATAAATTTTAAAAAATCCCACCCCTGAGTTATGTAGTCTCTGGTGCCACCTAGCGGTCATATGTAGTTCATGCGTTTGGAGATCAGCTCATCTTTCGTTTAACTATAAAAAATTGGTTACAAATCCTTCAGAAGTAACTAGTAACCATTCTGGGAAGTTTATTATTTTCATTTAAATTGTTAGCATAACATGTTTGATTTGTCACAATTGTTACTTTTATTTTCCCGTTATATTTGCGCAAAATCAACACTGAAACTCATCTGATGCCATTTTTGTAAGAAAGTCAAAAGGAAAACATTTGACTCACTTAACTTGAAGAGTCAGTTTTTGTTTTCTGCATCCAGTTCAATCCTTTGCATTATTTTTTTAACCTTTCCAGCATAAACAAAATGTAACTCCCAACAGGAAAACAAGACATTCACTAATAATGTTTGCAATGAGTCATGACAGCTGGCTGGAATAATCAGAAGTGACCACCGTAAAACTAAAGCACCTAAACCTCATTAATATATTTATCAGTTCGATGCTCACGTTCATACAGGAGCAAACATCAACAGATCTGTGTTTAAGGTCGATACAAATAATGATCAATAAATACAGCAGCGAGGCACTGCTTTAATTATTTATATGTCACAGTACAGAAAACAGCAATGACATTTAAACTTACAGCACATCATCAATCCGAGACTATAATCATAGAAATATTCATTAAATCAAATCTCTGCACAGCAGAGACGGAGACAAACACCGATGGGAAACGAGAAAACCAGAGAGGGCATCACTGCTGACGTGGCTGAGATTTCAAAAGCTCTGAAACAAAACTGAAATTATTGTTTTAAGGCACTTCAGCAATAAATTAATGCGCATTTACTGTTTAGTGTTATTAAAAGCTGACGGCTAATTAAGCCTTCACAAGTAATGCGTCTCTTCAACAAGTCCAAACTAAACAACAGTTATAGTAAATGTCACTAATTAAATAGTGGAGGTCTAATACTGATCATTTTAAACATCAAATATGTCCAAATATTGCCCAAGATACACGAGGATTTGAGTGAAACAGTGTTTGTATGACAAAAAAAACAAAACGGTCTTTATTAACTTTATGGTGAGCAGCCATGCAGTTGGAGAAACAAACACAACTTTATGTTTTCCTAATGCAGTGATCGTCAGTAAAACCTCATTAGTTTGTTCCTACTCTGCGTTTTAATCACACACACGATATATTTTGGCTCAAAAGCTTTAACACGAACACGTACCTGCAGATAGAAAAGCCTGAGGATCTGTGCACTCTCCTACAGTCTGTCTCTGTAAAACTGCGATTAAGAGCAGTGTTTACAATCATTAGCGTTCTTAAAGTAGTTGTATCACGACGGGGCATCTTTTCTCGAAAATGTGCGTCCCCTCTACCCGTTCTCCTGTATCGCTGTTTCAGTCTCCACCTCCGAGTGCTCCTCCAGCCGAGCGGTCAGGAAGGGGTTGAAGAAGAAGTCGAAGCCGAACTGGAGGGCGTTTTGAGCCGTGCGCCTCCAGTCGTGCTCGATCTTGTACTGTCTGCGGCTGAGGACGCGGGCGTCGCCGCACGAAATGCAGTGGATGGCTTTCAGTTCAAACACGGGCCACTTGGAGCCTAGTCGACCCTCCAGTATGGTGCTGAACTCCACCAGGCTGCCTGCGTTCAAGTGTAAAAGCACAAACTTGAACTCGCTACTTGCCCGCAGAACGATGTCCTTAGTTGCGTCCTCGTCCTCTATGATTGTCCCGTTCCTGGTCTTCCGCTCGAGCGGCATGCCCAGCGTAACTTCAAACTTGTATCGGTCGAACCGTTTGACGTGGCACCGATGCTTGGCCAGTTTTTTAAGCTTACAGAGTGGATCTTCTTGAGGAGGAGCCCGGGCAGGATAGGGTTCGGCGGTGGTTTTAGCTTCATCACACTGTGGATAGGGTTCCCCGTACAGACAACGCATCCAGTCCCCCACGAAGACCGGCAGCAGGTTGATCACCGACTGCGGTCCATTCTCGATGTCGGTTACACGGACGTACTTAAAACGTCCGGTCCAGGTGACCCGATGCCCTTCAAGATGAGAGCAGAGGATTTGAGTTTGGGCCATGTTGGACTCCTTCCACGCCAAAGGACCGCAGATGTTGCTGTATTCAGGCCACGTCAGGGTGGAGTTATACACCTTCATGCCTTCGGACCTGTAGACGTACATCCAGCAGAAGAGCACGACCGCGCTCAGCCACACCAGGATGAGTTTCACTATGCTGCTCCGAGACAACGACCGAAGAACCACGATGGGGTTGAGGCTGAAGCGAGTCCAAAGCTTCAGCACGACCGGAACAGAGCAGACGGTCAATGTGACCGCCATCTTGGTCAGTTCTAGGGTGAGAAACCACTGCACCAACTGGATCATCAGCATCGCAGCTATGCCCAGTGAGATGATAGGAAGGGCAAATATGAAGAGGAAGTAGCCCACGCCGGTCCGAATGAGTCCTATGGCTGTGGCGTTATTGAGGAACACCAAGCAAAGTTCACACCAGGTGAAACAAACCAGGTAAGGCACCAGGCACAGGTAGGTTCCCTTAAAGCCTCTCAGCTGGGCCATGCGGAAAAAGAGATAAAAAAGATATCCATACAGGAGGCATGGCACACCCACATTTAACACCATGAGATCTCCCAGAGGCAGTGTGAGAAACGTCGTCCCAAACATCCGGAGGAACCAGAGGGACTCTGGCAGCAGCTGAGTGAGAGAGCACGCTCCAGAGAGGACCTCTGTGAGAAGGGCTTTACGGGCGAAGAGCTGAGCAGAGGCGTGGAGGCTGAGGAAGGCTGTGATGGTGAAGAAGAGGGCGATGGCCGCCAGCTCCGAGCAGGGAATCCAAGATTTATCAGCAACAGGGAAGGAGAAAACAACAAAGACTACAGAGAGCAGGAAGTACCTAAACAAAAAGCAAAGAGACGAGTTTTTGACTTGACGGGTAAAAAAAAAAAATCTGAACCAGACAAAACTGTGAAAAACAAAAAGAGAACAAGTCCGAACCAATAAAATATTAGATGTTTACTAGTTTCACATTAGACGTGAATCAAAGTGATGAACTTACAGATAAGGTTCCAAGTGCGTCCACCCAAAGTTGGTCTCCGCCTGCTCCAGATCAAGACCAGGTTCAAAGTGAGCCAGCAGGTCTGTGAGGGCCCGGAAATTTTCCCACGCCTTTGAATTCTGAGAATAAATGTAAATATATTTCAGTTTTTTGTTTTTTTTATCTGCTTGCTTACAACACAAACACATTCACAGTAAAAAAAATCTTTAGGTTTAAAACAGCTAAAAAAAACAAACTCATGTTAACCTGGAATACACGCAGAGTGCAGATGACCATGGAGAAGAAGGAGAGGTAGAAAACCAGCACAGGGATGAGGAAGATGAAAAACTCAATTGTGAGGTTGGAGATGATGAAGAAGAAGATAAGTGCGTTGACGTGATGAGTTGGGATCAGGGCGCTGAGCCACTGCATGCCAGCTCGCGACGCCCAGTCGATGAGGTGCTCCTTTATTTCCAGCAGGGCATACAGAGGAAACTTCAACATCTGGGAGGAAGAAGCACAAGCAACGAGAGGGATTCATCTTTCAGCTGATTCACAGTCCTGAGGAAGAATTTCAGACCTAAACCTGAGGAGTTTCCCTCCTCCCTGTCGCAAAGCGCTTGTTCAAAAAGAAACGTTTTTATTTTATTGTGTGAACGTTTATGACGTATTCACACTATTGTGATCATTTTTCTTCCGTACGACTTTCAGCATCTTTCTCGTGCCAGTTTTTGTTTTATTTCAACAAATCATATATCAAAGCATTCAGCTTGGTGTTGGTGCAACTTTAGCTTTTTGAAATATTTAGCCTTTTCTGCCACTTTTTTTTCCCTCATAGAAAAGGAATTGAGCTCATTTTACATCCTTCATATCTTTAGATCTGTTTACAACTTTTTACAGCTCCTTTCACATTTTGTTCTGGTTCAGCTTCTTTGTGCAAATTTAAACATTTTTTAGTGACTTTCAGCTAATTTCAGCTGTTTTTTCAGATGTTTTGCGCTCCTTTTAGATTCTTTCTGCTAATTTCAACATTTTTGCGCTTCTTCTAACTTTTTTCTGCTGATTTTAGCTTGTTATGCTACTTGCTTATTTCTGCAAGTTTCAGCTTTTTCTGCTATATCAAGTACTATTTAGCTGTTTTTTTATGCTAATTTTAGCTTTTTCGGCTAATTCCACATTTTTTGCACTCGTTTCAACTTTTCTCAGCCTAATTCAGCAAAAATGTGCTTTCTCCACTTCCTTCTGGTAACTCAAGCTTCTTTTAGTAATTTTAGCTACTTTTCAGCTGGATATTTACTTACTTACTGGATATATTACTTGAAAATTATTATGATTGAAATAATTGTTTGAAAAAAGAGGCAGATATAATAAGATGTTTTCTTCTTTCTGCTGCCTTTCATTTTAAATCTTTTGTATCTTTTTTATATTGTTATGGAATTGTTTTGTACTTTTTTAAAATGAATAAACTTTATACCATACCATATTTTGTACGTCAATTTCAGCTTTTTTCATATTATAGCCACTTTTTAGTGCTCATTTCTGCTTTTTTCAGTCTAATTGGGTAAACGTGTTCTTTCTGCTTTCTTCTGCTGATTTAAACTTGTTCTACATTTTCAGCTATTTTTTAAAGCATTTTTCATCTAATTTCAGCTGTTTTCAGATAAATTATTTTTGATAATTTCTGCTACATTCAGCCTACCAGTAATTAACTTATTACTACTAAGTTAAGCTTTTTTCAGCTTTTTCTGCAAGTTTCAACTTTTTTTGCTATTTCAGCTACTTTTTGGCTGGTTTGTATTAAATTTAGGACTGTCAACTAATATCCACTTCTTTAGATCATTTCAGCTCTTTCCACTTCCTTCTGGTAGTTTAAGCTTCTTTCTGCCTTTTCAGCTTGTTTTAGATAATTTCCTACTTTTTGTGATAATTTCTGCTGATTTAAATTTAATTTAGCAAATAACATGTTTGTTCTTCAATTTCAGCTACATTTCAGCCTGTTTTTAGCTAATTTCAGCTGCTTTTCAGCAATAAGCATTCACACTGCATTTTCCCAGGAAATGCAATTTCTCTAATTAATTTTAAAAAAGAGTTTAGCCCTCAGTATATACTTAAAAGTGAACAGTTATAGGAAAAAGCTAAATGTCCTATAGCACAGGATTTTTTTATTCACCTTCTGATGTAGAGGCAGCTCGTCAGGATGTTTTACCACCACGTGATCATCATCGTCATCATCTGCTGCAGCAGCCATGACTGGTGACGGTGCAATCCCTCGGGCGTATCGCTTTGTCATCTCCACAAAATCCTCAAGACCCACGTGGGAACTGGCTGCAAGGAGAGCAATAACTGTAACTTTGCTTTCTTTTAGTTTGACTATCAGTAATGTAAGAAATCTTTAGAATGGAGAAAAGGAGAGGAAAGGGGAGAAATGATCATCTAGTAGCTATATTTTGAGACACACATACCCTCACTGGTGACCATGGTCTCCAGAACTCGCCTTTGCTTCTTGGCAGAACTGTTGAGTGGACCTGAGGTGATGGGTGTGCCTAAAAAAAATAAAAAATATTAGAAAAACAATAACTTCAATAGAAACTTAAGAAAAAGACAGAAATAAACTTTTGTACCTGGTTCTGCGTGCACATGCTCAACATTCTCCAGCAGCTCAGAAACGGCCACGTTCCTCTTCTTCTCCGGATTCAGCTTCCAGTACATGAGCAGAGCCGCCTTCCTGACTCCCCTCTCAAAACGTGTCTCCGTGCACAACTTCTTCACCTCCTCAAAGTTCTCCAAAGTGATGCCTGAGGATAAGAAAACAAACGTGCAGCCAAATTTCTACCACTGAACCAGACTGAGGGCAGCCGTGGGAACTTTTGGTACCTTTCCTGGAAGCTAAGCATTGCTGCAGCAGTTTGACGGCATCCTTGCGGCCATGTTTGGCAGCTTGGACCAGCCACGTGACCGCTGTGCAGTTATTCAGTTCTTCATCGCTCTCCTCTGCCAGGGCTAGAAAGTAACGACCCATCTGGACACACACACACACACACATAAATAGATGATTATACTTGCAAGACAAGCATGGCTGGGACTTTGTAAACTTCCTGACCTTTAAGTTTTCAGCACCGTTTTGCATAACTTGGTGCTCTGCTGTGTTTGCACCATATGGCCACCAACAGCATTTGCAAAATGCTCATCTCTGTACTGACCTTTGTTTGTGCTTTAGCGTCACCTGACTTTGCTTTCTCCTCCAAATCTTCAAAACTGAACTCCTCTTCCGGCTCGTCTGAAACAGAAAAATGTTAATTAGTCGCTGTGCAGTTGATTTTGCAGGTTTGACGTTGTGACGTTAGTGACAGATGATTAAAAAGGGCAAATCATATAAAACATTGTGTTGCTGGAAAGTCCATGTCTTGATACTTGCCTCCATAAAAAAAAAGAATGATCATTGTGATAGAAATATATTTTTTAATCGATCTGCTTCCTGGTACATTGCGATGTGTATACATTTTCCCAGTACACGTCATAATTCCTTATTTGATTCTGTGTCGTAATCTGAATGGTATGTTATTTGATGCTTTGCTGTGACTGTAGAGAGATGGTGCTAGTGGACAGCTGCGTTGGCACGCTTATCGTAACCTTGAAAATATTTTCCTTTTCTCCCTGGACTCAGACGGGTTCAGTTGGTTCTGATAACACTGAGTTGAGATCTGGGACGGCCCTTGTTTCTATAAAACTAACAACCTTACTTCAGGAAGTTAGAAACAGATCTAAACCAAGGCAGAGCAAGCCATTGTGAGTTCTCTACTCGTAATGCATTGACTTGCTGTATTCTCACTGTTACTCCAAAGCTTTAAATGTAACGACGACTACATCTGATCAGTTGTGAATCAGTTTTTTTCTACAACAACCATGCAACTGCTCGTGTCCGAGTTTGTTTATTAGCAATCTCTTAGCTTTTATTGAAACTTTCAGAAAATATTCAACCCAATTTGGCGTCAACCCTATTCTTAGATAAATAGATAAATAATGTTACTAATTTAATTTTTATGCATGTGAATGCATTTGTTCAGAGCCCTGAGATAGTTGTGACTTGGCGCCGTATAAATAAAATGAATTGAATTCAAGATGGCCGCCACAGTTAATCAAGTTTAAAAAACACAAAATCTGCCATAACATAACTAATTTAGTAGATATTCAACTAAAATTTGGCATGCTAGTAGCTGTGAGCTAACAGATCACATAGGATTTGGGATAAAAACCACAGCAGTTTCGTTTGACCCAGTTTTTTTTAAAGGAACCAGAGCTCATACTAAAAATAAATCCACATACTGTGTAGTAAAAATTACATCACATTTGTTGTGGTGTAAACAAATGAAAAAGGAAGTAGAAACAAGATCCAAAATCCCCATAGGCTTAAAGAGGGATTGACAGTCTGTGTGTGTCTCTACAAGTCAAAGAAAATACTCATGATATCTAGTTACTCACATCATATCCCCATCAATGCTCATGCCATGCTGCACCAGCCTGATTCCAGCCTCGGAGCTCTAAAATAACTCTTTCTTTTTGCTGCTGTTCTTCCAAATGAAACACACACATCCTCAAGGATTCAACCTGCTTCAATACAAAACTCTAATTTATTTATTTTTATTTGCCATGTCCACCTTCATGTTAAAGCGAGTGTATTTTTCAGAGAACTAGAGTAGAAATAACAGACCAAGGCAGTAAGTAAACGACTGAGTTGTCAGATTTCACATTTTCCACTAATGCTCCATCTTGATATCATTGCTAAGACAATTAGAAAATAAAATGTGATGTTTCCACTGCAGCAAAGTGATATCCAGCTATCTGAAGGCTACATGATACATTTGGTTGGCTAAAAAACAAAGAGGTGAGACTGTTTTTTTTTTCCCTTTAAGTCAGCAGAATGGGAGTGGCTGCTTTACATGATGTGTTAGATGTCTGTGGTTGTTGTGGAGACACGGCCACCTGGGAGTGTTAGCTGCACTGACTGATAAAGATGTGAAAAGTGAAACAAAGCAGTAAAGTTTTTGTCTTTGGTCAAAAGTCTGAGTTTGATTTGTACCTGGTTCAGGTGAAGCAGGTGGCTTTGGTACCGCAGATCCATTGAGGGGACTTCCTGTAGAGGCAGCGTTGAGCTGAGATCGTCCCAACTGAGAGAGGCTTCTGGTGGGCTGGTGGTGGGACGATGATGTCAGTGAGTTAAGGGAGGAAGAGCGGGAATACAGACTCGGACATGTCCGAGGGGAAGCAGTGGAGGGAGACGATGAGGGAGTGGTTGGAGGGGTTGGCATCGTGAGTTTGGGCTTTTTCTGGTCCGGCGTCGATAGGGTAGCAGATGAGCCAAGGGAGGAAGTGCCCGGCCTCATTGTTGTCGGAGAGGATCGGTTGAGTTTTGATGTGGACAAGTTTCTTGTAGGTGAAGGATCCATGGCTAAAAATAGTTAAATGAAAACAAGCAGAGATAATGAGTTTTTTTTTAAATGTAAAATAAAATATTACAAAAAAATAAAATTTTTATTTTTCAAAAACACTTTGGGTGCTTTTCCCACCTATTTGCCGTCTAGTATTTGTCCATTTTCAAAGAGGTGGGTTTTTTTTTTTTTGGATCGCCATTAAACTCTGAATGTTGCGAGCATAAAAAAAGCTTCTAAGTCTTCACCCTCCTGCTGACCTTAGCTCAAAATGATCCACGAAGCTTCAGTCTTAAATCTGAAGTCTCGTGGATTATTTTGACCCTAGGATAGGTGGAAGCAGCGTTGTGTTGGAACATAACATTTAGTAAAAAAGAAAATAATTTAAGCTGAATAGTTAGTCAATTTGTCACTTGAAACCTGTCTCAAAAACACATCTTGTTTCTTTTTTTTTCTTTCTAAAAACCGAATCTATGAAAAACATCAACAATAACACACATCAACCCCCCCCCCTCCCACACACACACACACACACACACACATTAGCTCCAGTAAGTGGTTCACGAGAGCTATAAGCAGAAAACTTGGCATTAACTTGATGCTCAACTAAACAGTGGTACCTTTATCAGATCTTTGTTGTTTTTTCCCCTATTTAAA